CGCGCCCCTGGAGTTAGGAGGCGGCGGCGGAAGGAGTGGAGTCCCCCGCGTGGGCTCTGGGCTCGGATTCCCAAGGACGGAGGAGAGCCTGGCGCGGGGGACGGGGGAGTGCCCCTCGGTGTCAGCCGCAGGCCCCCGCCGCCTGGGCGGGAAGTTTGGGGCTGGGCGTCTCTCTCTTCCTCGTCGGGAAATAAATGAGTATTTGGGGGAAGGGGGTGTGGGAGGAAGGCAGCTTGGGGTTCCCGAGAGAGTTCTGCAGCTGCCTGAAGGTGAAACGGGGGTGGTGAGGGGCAGAAAGGAGGTCCCAAAGTTTGCTGCTTGCTGGGATCCCGGGCTCCGGGCCGCGCGCTGGGCGGCGGCGTCCGCGCGGAGGGGAAGGACCCCGTGGGACTGCGGAGGGGACGCGGCGCGGGCACCATCTGTTTCGCCGCTGTTATTTGCGGGGGCCGGTGGCGAGAGCTGGCAGGACGGAGCTTCCCCGAATGCTTTCCCAGACTGGAGGAGAAACATTCTCTACGGTGAACCTGGATGGGGAGTGCGCTGGCTCTTCCAGGAAAATAAACGGCCACCGAGCCCTCTGCCCTCGTGGGTACAAGAGCAGCTCAGGTTTGGAACGCGCTCAGGTTCCCGGCGGGGCAAACGCCGTCTTCCTTTCCATACAGAGATGTGGCTTGCAGTTCCTTTTGGTTTTGCTTTGCTCAGGAGCATCACACCAAGGTGAATGCAAACTTTGTTACGATGTAGCCAAAGAAATAAGACATTTGCTTTACGGAGCCCAGCTTGGGCACTGGCAGCTTCCGAACAATGCATGAAGCTGTAGGAAAGGCACCTATCAAATTAAAAAGGAAGCTTTTCATAAAGTCAATAAGCTACAGCTTAGATATAAAGTTCAAGGTTTTGGCTTGAAAGAATTTCCTGAAATATTTCAGGGCCTGATTTCACTGGTTTTCAGAGTGCTTTCGTCTTATTTTGATGCCGTGTGTGCGGTGAGTATGCGCCACTCCTTCCCTCTATTAGGTAGATACCCTGAGAATGCAAGGCTGCATTGCAAGGTCTGTTGTGGCTTAAGGGTTTTAAGGTGGAAAATGTTTATTTGTTCAAAGTGTGGGTTGTAGTTCAGATTCTATATTCCCATAAATCAAGTATCTGTTGGATTTATAATTTATGTTCCTACTCATTTCCAAAAGTGATTGGAGGAAGCTTGGATTGAAAACCACAAATCAAACAGCTATTCCTGTCGCTCTCCTTGACCTCTCTTGCGTTTGTAGTAAAATTCTTTGGAGAAGGTGAATCTTCCTAACAAAGAAAAAATTCCTGTCCTCTCTGGAATCATCCCAGTGATATCAATGTTTTGCAGTATCATTCCTCATGTACTCTGTTTGCATTCTATTATTTTGCATCACCTAAGTCATGATCTTTTTATAGAAGTTTAATAACCCCTAAGTAGCAACTGTAGGGGGGAAATGTTGGTACTTCACAGCATTTGACCAATAAACAGATTCCCAGAGCAAAAATAGAACGTTGAACTTAATGTATCCTTTTAAAAAAATAAATTTTCAATTATTTTATTTCTCTTCTGTTTTTTAAACATTCAGTCTCTTATGTATCTCCTTCCCACTCCCGAGTCACATAGTTAATTAATTAATTTTTTATTAAGTTTATTGGGGTGACACTGGTTAATAGGATCATATAAGCTTCAGGTGTACTTTTTGATGATATGAGATCTGTGTATTGTACTGTGCTCCCAACACCCAGTGTATCTTTCTTGAACTGATGTAGAAAGGAAACCAAGGGTGGTGTCTCCTCTACAGTCAAGCCAGAGAAGGAACTGTCATTAGTATGTGTCACCCAAATTTGGCCATTTAATGAGACCTGAGAGCAGTTGGAGGATACTTTTATGAAGTGTAACTATTACATGAAGATCTATCAAAGTATATCAAGTGTTCTCAGACTCTTTTTTCTTAGGTTAGTGACCTGGCTCAGAGAGAAAATAAAAATCCTGCAAAACAAACACAGCTCTAAAAGGGGAGAGCTGTCTACATAGAATAATGCTGTGCGGAGCTTCTACGGTGAAAGAGAAAATAATCTTAAATCCTTGAACTGTCCTCCCCCCACCTTCAGATTTTTTTCTTCAGCTGAATTTGAAGATATTATTGCTTGATTTTTAACAACAATTTTATATTAAAAATACAAGCAATTGGTTTACTTCTCACAGGTGTGACTTATTTGTGGAAATCTTTAACAGAAATAAAGAGCAAAATTGATTTTCTCCTGTTCCTATAAGATCCCATGTCTTCAAAGATTTAAAGCACAGTGTGCAAGTTTGTCCCAGTTTCCCACGGCTTTTTATTTGCTTCTGGGATTTTAGAAGCCCCCCAAACCCACCATTTCACTCTCTCTATTTTGCCACCTCCCCCACTCATGTCTGTGTTCCCCATGTGTCTCAATATGGTCTTTTTATCCTGCCTTTTCTTGTTCATTTTTTTAAATTCTGTATATTTCTCCTGATCCTCTTTGCTTAATAGATGATCTCCTTTTTGCATGTTGTTTTTTTTATTCCATGGTGTCCTTTTATTAGTGCTAGATTGTTTTCCTAAAGTAACATCCTTGCGCAGCGGTTGAGCATTGACCTAGGATCCAGGAGATGGAAGTTCGATTCCCGGTCAGGGCACACGCCCAGGTTGCGGGCTCCATCCCCAGTAGGAGGTGTGCAGGAGGCAGCCGATCAATGACTCTCATCACTGGTGTTTCTATCTCTTTCTCTCCCTCTCCCTTCCTCTCTCTGAAATCAATAAAAATATACTTTAAAAAAAAAAAGTAACATCCTTACCTCTGTTTTCCCTCTTAAATTTCATAGTGACATTTTGAACCACCTATGAGATGGCTTTTATATTACTCTCAGGTGCTTCAAACCTAACAAGTCTAAATTCTAATCAACATCTTTCTCCTTCCATGAACAGGGTAACTGTTAATTTCTGAATTTCTCCCTATTACCCAGGACCTTCTCAGGATCTTTGCTTTCCACATATAATACACAGGTAAGTCGCAGAGACTCCATTTCCACAACGCCTCATGATGCCGGCTCTTCCATCTTTTTATCCCCTTGGTGATGCCTTTATTCAGATTCTTATCTCTTTTTAGAGACTACCATGATGTCTTCCTGACTAGTTTCCCCATCTCCATTCCCTCCCATTTCCAATCCATTTACACTTGGTTTGCAGAATAAGCTCCTTAAAGCAGAGCCAAGCTCAGTCACTGGCTAATAAACTTGTCTCCAGTGCCCCACCAAATGCCATAAAAATGTCTCCTTTGATGTTTAAGACCCTTTGCAGCCCAGCCCCACAGTAGCTCCACATTTTTTTACTTTGATTTCATAGATTCATTGACTTATTTGTTAATTTATTCAATGGATATTTGAGTGACTGCTACATGCCAGGCACAGCTCTAGGTAATACTTTTTAGAAGTACTTAGGTATTGGCTCAGTGATGTTTCCAATTTTATTTTTCAATGGTGGAGTCCACTGTTAAAATATAATCTTATGTGGTTGAAATGGGGCCCCAGCAATCCCATCAACCTCCCCTTCCTACTGTTAGTAGTCTCTGAGGCACCATCGTAGAATCACGAGTCTGCTTGAAACAATTTAAAAAACACTGCTCTAGGCTGCAGGCAATGTTCCTGCAACACCCAGCAGACCTGTGAGTTCTGCATCTTTGCCTATGCAATTCCCTTGGCCTGAAACAGGCCCTCCCACTCCCCTACTTCTCTGCCTGTCAGAGAGTCGGCGCAATGGCTGCGTGCTTCCTGATCGCCCTTTGAATTCAGCTTTTGCTTCTCCAAACCCTTTTGTTGGACTTCCTCTTGGACCACAAGTCATGGTCTTCCTCACATATACGTGGTTTCTGCCTTCTGCCCTACAGGCACCAGGCCAACCACGCCTAACCTCAAGCATCCATTTCTCAGAATACCCAGCTCAGGGCCTTGCATATTGTGGGGCATTCACAAATAATTTAATTAGTCAGCTTGACTTCTACCTAGTTCTCTAGTTCCAATTTTTGCCTACAATAGCTCTTTGTTTTAATTCCTCAATTTGGTTCTTATAGCAGAGCCAGGGCTTCTTAAATTTGTGTATGCATCTTAATCAAGAGGGGATCTTATTAAAATGCAGATTTTGGTTCAGCAGGTCAGGGAGGAGGCAGGCAGATACTGCATTTCTAACAAGTTCCCGGGTGGTGTTGAAATAGATGATCCACGAACTCCGCTTTGAGTGGCAGTGGTAGTCGATGCTGCTTCACAGGGTTTGGGAGTTTCTGGCAGCCTCTGTGTCTCTGTCCGGTGATTTGTCTAGTTAGTGTTTGCTTTGATATTACTTCCTATTTTGAAAGTACTTTAGGCTTCAGCGTGCTTCCCAAAGCTGAATGGAAGGTGTGGTGACTCTTGTATTTTCCCCTGGTTTTGCTGATTAGGCACTGCAAGGGCTAGTTCTCCCTGCTGTATTTTTCTCTGTCCAGTTCTATTGCTTTATCATATATCCCTTCTCGTTCACCCATCAGTCATTTTTAGATTGTGGCTGTTCTCCTTTTTTGTTGTGTTATGACCTTTTCTTTCCTTTGCTCTCTCTGTTTCTTGAAATTCTCTTCAGATTACCTTGGCTGACTTCTGGCCCCAGCTGTTTTCCTACCGATTCCTAAATTTTTCTATGAAAGGAGCAGTGAAATAAGGCACAGGAGACTCCAGCTCTCATTCTGCCTTTACTGCTGGTGTGAGACACTGGGCAAAGTTGCTTCTTTCCTGGGCTCCTGGTTCGTGGCTGGAGGGTATGGATTACACAGTTTTCTGGGTCTGCTTCAGCACTAAGATGCCAGGTGGGATCTTCATGTGGGACAGAAGGAGCAGGTTGTGGAGAAACAAGGATGGTCTGCTGGTGTTGGTGTAGATGTATGCCCCCATCTAGTATTTCTGTTCTAGATAAACTACTGGAGCTTTGGTGGTTCTCGCACTCCTTGGAGAAAGACCTGTACTGTATTTTCTAAAAACAACAACCATCCTTGGCATTTGTTAATCCAGTTGTTTTTAACCCTGGATTCACACTAAAATCCTCTCAGAAACTTTATAAATAGTGCTGTTCTTAGCTCATCTCGAGGGAAAGATTTTAGCTCATCTCGAGGGAATGATTTATCAGTATTTTTAAAATCTCCCTAAATGATTCTAATTTCCAGCCTGTGTAGAGAACTATAGCATCTGGTCTGTAAAGGCAGTGTGGACTGGTGGTTAGGAACACAGCATTGTGTTGAGTCAAATCCTGACTTTGTTCCTTACCAAGTTGGAGAGCTTGGGGAGGTTACTTAACTTTGGGCATCAATTTCTTGATCTCTGAAATGAGTTGACTTGGTGGTTGTGAGGAATTGGTAAGAGCAGCAATGGGGTGCTGTGCACACTGTGGTTGTTCTAGAGACAACAGTTGTTGTTTATCATGAAAATAATACTATTACAATTTATATCCCTGAATCACTTAAGGGTCATCTTATCTTACTTGAGTTAACGCTGTCATCACCCCCTATTCAGCTTCAACATATTTGGCACAGTATAATCAGTTTGAAAAGAAATTTATGAGCATATTTTTTTGCAAGTCAGTGAAAAAATACAGAAGGCCTATATGTTAATAAAAGCCAATCCATTGATCCATTTGGTGCCACATCAACTGTATAATTTCGTAAAT